CATATTATTGGCATCTGAGGACAAGGCAGGGCAATCATATTATTGGCATCTGAGGACAAGGCAGGGCACTCATATTATGGGCATCTGAGGGCAAAGCAGGACACTCATATTATTGGCATCTGAGGACAAGGCAGGGCAATCATATTATTGGCATCTGAGGACAAGGCAGGGCAATCATATTATTGGCATCTGAGGACAAGGCAGGGCAATCATATTATTGGCATCTGAGGACAAGGCAGGGCAATCATATTATTGGCATCTGAGGACAAGGCAGGGCAATCATATTATTGGCATCTGAGGACAAGGCAGGGCAATCATATTATTGGCATCTGAGGACAAGGCAGGGCAATCATATTATTGGCATCTGAGGACAAGGCAGGGCAATCATATTATTGGCATCTGAGGACAAGGCAGGGCAATCATATTATTGGCATCTGAGGACAAGGCAGGGCACTCATATTATGGGCATCTGAGGGCAAAGCAGGACACTCATATTATTGGCATCTGAGGACAAGGCAGGGCAATCATATTATTGGCATCTGAGGACAAGGCAGGGCAATCATATTATTGGCATCTGAGGACAAGGCAGGGCAATCATATTATTGGCATCTGAGGACAAGGCAGGGCAATCATATTATTGGCATCTGAGGACAAGGCAGGGCAATCATATTATTGGCATCTGAGGACAAGGCAGGGCAATCATATTATTGGCATCTGAGGACAAGGCAGGGCAATCATATTATTGGCATCTGAGGACAAGGCAGGGCAATCATATTATTGGCATCTGAGGACAAGGCAGGGCAATCATATTATTGGCATCTGAGGGCAAGGCAGTATACACACACAGGTTGAGTCAGTAGAGAGAACAAGAATAATCACCTCATAGAAACTACTGTGTTTGTAAGTTATAACTGAATACCTGTTACTGTTATTGTTAGTAGCATATAACTTAACACTTATTGTTAGTAACATATAACTTAACACTTGTTATTGTTAGTAACATATAACCAAATAATGTTCTGTTCATCTTCTGTCGGTTGACAATCAACGCGACTGTTCTTTTTTTCAGAAAACAATGCCTGTCTTAAACCGGGTCGTCTCCCACCTATTTAGGGCTACTCAAAAACAATAAAAGAAAAAATCCACCACCATTTATGCAATCGCTGCCTTGCCAGAAGCGTGCTGACGTCACAGTTTAGACCGGCCTATGTGTATTGAACATAATACATACGTGAAAATCCAACAACAGCAACTGCTCTCAACACCGTGGCCAATTTTGACATACACGCTGGGGCACCTGACCAGCCTAACTCTTCATTAAGCTTGCATGTTAGTGTGTACACAGGCTGCCAACTGACTATTGATCAGGGGTCCTTAAGGAGTCAGAACACCTTGACTTGAGCAATGATTGGTTCCCAGTCCGTGCCAGTCACCACTGATGACTGTGTGTGTGTGTGTGTGTGTGTGTGTGTGTGTGTGTGTGTGTGTGTGTGTGTGTGTGTGTGTGTGTGTGTGTGTGTGTGTGTGTGTGTGTGTATGTGTGTGTGTGTGTGTGTGTGTGTGTGTGTGTGTGTGTGTGTGTGTATGTGTGTGTGTGTGTGTGTATGTGTGTGTGTGTGTGTGTGTGTGTGTACTCACCTAATTGTGGTTGCAGGGGTCGATTCACAGCTCCTATGTGTCCGTGTTTTCATGTATTTAATCAATTTCTAATGATCGAAGCACTTTATTAATACTTTCTATTTGACATATTTATGAAGATGCATTTTTAGTAAACTTTTTAGCTCAATTTTCCCCCTCATGTTAGAACTGTGTTCTCTCGTTTTCCTTTCATGTCTTTTCGTGACCTTAGTTATCATGTCTCGTTCAGGAATTAAACACATGTGCAACACTTATTAATCTTTACTGAGGAAACGTTTCGCCACACAGTGGCTTTATCAGTCCTCTACAAAGAAGAATGTTGAAGATCAGGAGGAGTTTGAGGTTATCAGTCACTCAGTCTGGAGTTGATGTAATCAGTCCATCAATCTTGAAAAGAGTACATCATATGTGCAGTTGTGATGCTGGTGTTGGTATGGTGAGGCTGGGCACTGTCTTCCCTCCCACACCACACACAATTGTCTTAAAACAATAACTTATCACCTCCGTGTTACCTCACATCTCACAACTCACTTTCTTGTGTCTTTTCCAGGCTTTCTAATACACTATCGCTCTCCTGTCCATCACTCTTTCGTTCTCACTCTCACTCTGCACCAACAGCCAGGCTGATCAGGAACCTTGACGGTGTTACCGGACGGATTGCTTCACCCCCTCCAGGTTTAGCACTCCTAAACTCAAGTGTGGAGCATTCTGACTTATTCTATCCATATTTATAATTAATTAATTAATTAATAATAATAATAATAATAATAATAATAATTATTATTATTATTATTATTATTATTATTATTATTATTATTATTATTGCAGTTGTTATTCTTATTTTTCCATTATTATTCCCACAGAGAATTATTATTATTATAATCAAACAGAAGCGCTAATCCACAAGGGCTATACAGCTCCCACAGAGAAGTAACTCACACTTAGGGAGGACATTTTAGAGGACGTTTCGCTCCGTCCTGTACTTGATAATGGATCCTGATGGAGCGAAACATCGGCTGACGTTTCCTTTCTTCAAGCCTGAGGTTAATTACTAGAAATATTGACATTAATAAAAATCTAGTTCACTTTTACTTGTAATAAAGTAAGAATTGTTGACATTAACCAGTTATTTCCATAGATAATAAAGTAAAAATTACTGACATTAAGCAATCATTTTTTATATAGTTATAATAAAATAATAAGTGTGATTTTTTCTAGGTCAATAAAGAAGGTTCTGCTGATGGCAACACCGCCATTGACTCAAAAATTTGGCGGAATTTTTATTTCACTGGGTTAGTTATATTTATCTTTCTTTCCTTTATTTTGTTTTTTTATTTCTTTTAAGTTGTGGTAGTTATTACACTGGACTTGTGGTTTAATGTAATGGAGGATGTTTATTTTTACTTAAGTCGGTTTTATAAAGGGAGGGTTTAATTAATCATCCGCAAAATTGGGGAGAATTTGGGTTTCGTGGGATAGGGGTGGGATGGGATGGTAAATGGAATGGGATGGGGATGATAGGGAGTGCTAGGAGAGGAGGAAAGGGAAGAAGAGAGATGGATGGAAGAGGAGGGGGTAGGAATTAATGGGGTAGGAGAGGAAGGGGTAAGAGTTGAAGGGGGTAGGATACGCGGAGGTAGGAGTTGAAGGGGTAGGATATACGGGGTAGGAGTTGAAGGAGGGAGGAGATAGGATCAGTGGGGGTAGGAGTTGAGGGGATAGGATACACGAGGTACAAGTTGAAGGGGGGTAGGGTCCGCGGGGTAGGAGTTGAAGGGGATAGGATACACGGGGTACAAGTTGAAAGGGGGTAGGGTCCGCGGGGGTAGGAGTTGAAGGGGGTAGGATACACGAGGTACAAGTTGAAGGGGGGTAGGGTCCGCGGGTAGGAGTTGAAGGGGATAAGATACACGGGGTACAAGTTGAAGGGGGGTAGGGTCCGCGGGGTAGAGTTGAAGGGGATAGGATACACGAGTACAAGTTGAAGGGGGTAGGGTCCGCGGGGGTAGGAGTTGAAGGGGATAGGATACACGAGGTACAAGTTGAAGGGGGTAGGGTCCGGGGGGGTAGGAGTTGAAGGGGATAGGATACACGAGGTACAAGTTGAAGGGGGGTAGGGTCCGCGGGGGTAGGAGTTGAAGGGAATAGGATACACGAGGTACAAGTTGAAGGGGGGTAGGGTCCGCGGGGGTAGGAGTTGAAGGGGATAGGATACACGAAGTACAAGTTGAAGGGGGTAGGGTCCGCGGGGTAGGAGTTGAGGGGGATAGGATACACGAGGTACAAGTTGAAGGGGGGTAGGGTCCGCGGGGTAGGAGTTGAAGGGGAATAGGATACACGAGGTACAAGTTGAAGGGGGTAGGGTCCGCGGGGGTAGGAGTTGAAGGGGATAGGATACACGAGGTACAAGTTGAAGGGGTAGGGTCCGCGGGGGTAGGAGTTGAAGGGGATAGGATACACGAGGTACAAGTTGAAGGGGGGTAGGGTCCGCGGGGGTAGGAGTTGAAGGGGATAGGATACACGAGGTACAAGTTGAAGGGGGGTAGGGTCCGCGGGGGTAGGAGTTGAAGGGAATAGGATACACGAGGTACAAGTTGAAGGGGGGTAGGGTCCGCGGGGGTAGGAGTTGAGGGGATAGGATACACGAAGTACAAGTTGAAGGGGGGTAGGGTCCGCGGGGGTAGGAGTTGAAGGGGATAGGATACACGAGGTACAAGTTGAAGGGGGGTAGGGTCCGCGGGGTAGGAGTTGAAGGGGATAGGATACACGAGGTACAAGTTGAAGGGGGGTAGGGTCCGCGGGGGTAGGAGTTGAAGGGGATAGGATACACGGGGTACAAGTTGAAGGGGGGTAGGGTCCGCGGGGGGTAGGAGTTGAAGGGGATAGGATACACGAGGTACAAGTTGAAGGGGGGTAGGGTCCGCGGGGGTAGGAGTTGAAGGGGATAGGATACACGCGGTACAAGTTGAAGGGGGGTAGGGTCCGCGGGGTAGGAGTTGAAGGGGATAGGATACATGAGGTACAAGTTGAAGGGGGGTAGGTCCGCGGGGGTAGGAGTTGAAGGGAATAGGATACACGAGGTACAAGTTGAAGGGGGGTAGGGTCCGCGGGGGTAGGAGTTAAAAGGGAATGGGATACACGAGGTACAAGTTGAAGGGGGGTAGGTCCGCGGGGGTAGGAGTTGAAGGGGATAGGATACACGAGGTACAAGTTGAAGGGGGGTAGGGTCCGCGGGGGTAGGAGTTGAAGGGAATAGGATACACGAGGTACAAGTTGAAGGGGGGTAGGGTCCGCGGGGGTAGGAGTTGAAGGGGATAGAAGTTGAGTGATGGGGCGGAGTGGGAAGGGGAGAGAGACAGAGAAACCCTCAGTAGTGTATGAGAGTGTGAAGTGGGAGGTTGTGTGTGCTCGTCTCCCTGGATAGTTGCTTACCAGTAAACATCCTCACTCACCACTGCTGCTCACCACTACACACCAGCCTGGTGAGTATCCCAATATTCTCCTACCCACGTCCTCCTAGGTATATCTCCCGGGGGTATCCTAGCTCCTTACTCCTACCAGCGTTGAAATTGCCAGATGGTGAGCTCCGGACGGCGAAACTCTGGCCTTTTTAAGAAAATAACTTCCAGATGTGTCTTTTATTCCCCTTCTGTTACGTACCTGAAGTGAGGTACGTATAAAAGTCTGGCCTTTTAAAATGATTACTTCTAGACGCCTTTTACTCCTCAGTTACGTACCTGAAATTACCTTAAAGGACTAATATCACTCGGTGAAAGTGGCCTTTTTATGAAAATGACTTTAGATATGCCTTTTATTCCCCTTCTGTTACGTACCTGAAGTGACGTAAAGGGTCCAATATCACTCAGTGGAAGGGGCTTTTTAAAGAAAAAATAAGATGCCTTTTATTCCCCTTCAATTATGTACCCGAAATTAACTAAAAGGACTAATATCATATAGTGAAAGTCTGGCCTTTTAAATTTCAAAATGCCTTTTTTTTGCCTTCGATTGACTACCAGAAATTAACTAAAGAGATGTAATCAGTGAAAGTCTGACCTTTTACATCGAAATGCCTCATTTTCCCCCTCCCATTTCGCACCTGAAACAAAAAGGAATGATTACTTTCACTTCGTTGAAAGTAATGGAAATGTGGGATTTATCAAGGCAGTTTGTTATATTATTTCGTTATTAGGCCTATGTGACGGTGGTGGATAGGCTTAGTCCGTATAGGCCAGTTAGGCTTCAAGTTGCTAACACTTTATCACTGTACACTTAAAATATAGCACTGTACACTTAAAATATAGCACTGTACACTTAAAATATAGCACTGTACACTTAAAATATAGCACTGTACACTTAAAATATAGCACTACACTTTAAATATAGCACTGTACACTTAAAAAATAGCACTGTACACCTAAAATATAGCACTGTACACTTAAAATATAGCACCGTACATTTAAAATATAGCACTACACTTTAAATATAGCAATATAGACTTAAAATATACCACCATACAGTTTAAGATATTGTACTATACACTTAAAATACAGCATCATGCGCTTATATAGCAGTAATATGCACTGAAAATAAAACAGTTTTATACGTTAAAATGTATTTTTTACAGTAAAATGTATCAAATTTGATTCTAAAACATTCATCTGCCTTCAGCAACCTTTATTAACCCTTAAATTATCAAACACTTGAATGTCATTCTTTTTGTATTATTGAATAAAAATTACTTTTAACACTTAACGAAACTAGTAATATTTTAAAGTGAACCTTGTGTAGGCTTGTGTGTGTGTGAGGAGGGGGAGGGGGTGATATAGCGTACCCCTCCGGGTTTGGCGCTCCAGGCTGCAACATTCCCGGTGTTTCTGCTGTGAAACCGGTTTCGAAAACTTCGATGCACAAATAACCCGTATTTAGTAGCCTGAAACTTCTGACGACTTTTCGGTCCGACTCAGATCATTAACTAGTCATAGCCCGGATCGTAGGTTATTTATGGGGGAGCGCTAAACCCGTGAAAGAAGGGGAAGTAATCGGATTTGATTCGAGGAAAGGAAGGGTAGCTTTAGTTCATGAGATCAAGAGCCCTTCGCTAGCGCCAAGGCCCCTACCTGGAAGGGACTTTGTTGGTTGAGTGATGGGGTTGCATTGTTCAGACTCCCATACACTCCCTCATCTGTGCGGTTTCATATTTCAACACCGGCCCTTTTTACCCTCATAATAGATACAAAAAATATATTCAACGTCATTATTCGCGCGTTAGTTACCTTTCCTGCATTGCAGTCACGATGTAATGACCCTCTGTTGTGACGAAACTAGGGGGAAAAGTCGGGTAAAGCCCTAACTTAGCTTGTTTTAACTAAACTAAAATTGTCATTTCACCCCCACTAGGAATTTTTATTCCCTGCCACCATTGCAATGTCCCAATTGACTGCAAAATTGGAGGCACTGTGTTTCCCACGGTCTCACCACCAGTCAAATCCACATAATCGTTTCGTTTAATAATTCTTTATGCATTCCAGTGGCAAAACTCCAACAGCACGTCAAATCCTCCCCCCCCCCAAAAAAAAACATTTTTTCTTCTCCGATCTAATAAGCTTACGTAATGTTTTCAAGTGTCCCTAAAGAATTCAAGGAAGAACACTGGGAGTGGTTAGGTAAGCAAACTGCGCTGCTCCTCTAGTCTTATGCTTTTGTGTACTGTATCACTTTTTTCACTAAGGTATTTGAGGAGGTAGATCATGGTAATGAATATGATATTGTGTATATGGACTTCAGTAAGGCTTTTGACAGGGTCCCACATCAGAGACTATTGAGGAAAATTAAGGCACATGGAATAGGAGAAATTTTTTCCTGGATAGAGGCACGGTTGACAAATAGGCAGCAGAGAGTTTGCATAAATGGGGAGAAATCAGAGTGGGGAAGCGTCACGAGCGGTGTTCCACAGGGGTCAGTGTTGGGCCCCCTGTTGTTCAC